TTGGCTACACACAAGGAAAGCAGCAAAAGTCTTTCTTTCTCTCGACCAAACTCTGCCAGAAATGAGTCTTTGGGACCCTGCAAGGTATCCTGCTCCAAGAGACTGCGTCAGTGCCAAATTCCACCAGAAATGAGTCTCATAAAGATTCATTTCTGGCGGAATTTGGGCAAGAGAAAGAAAGACTTTTGCTACTTTCCTTACATGAAGCCAAAAGTCGCCCCCCACCCTCCCGAACGGAGCTGGAGACAGTATCCTGTGATCCAAAATAATGATCGATTGGTAGGAAAACGAAGTGGAGAAATTTCCTGCAGACTTTTGGGGAGATTTTCCCAGGGTCTCTGGTCCGCGGGATTTAAAATTATGAGTTTGGTGGTCCCCGAGGTCCAAAAGGTTGGCGGCCCCTTTTCTAGAATGGTCAATGGAACAATGTACTCTTAGAATTTGGGAAACCTCTCCATGAAGACAGGAGAAGTCTGGGAGGGAGGGGTGAAGAATGAAAACACATTCTTTATTCTCTTCTGGACTCACGAGACAAAGACATCTTACCTGCAACTCGACCTGCTCCTTCAGCTCCTCTGCCTGGCTTAGGAGGAAACCTTCTGCCAAGGCCACCGCCTGGGAGCTGGTCTCTGCTCCACAATCCAGCACCCAGCTTTCCATCTGCGGGGGCAGAAGGGCCAGGAACTGCTCCAGAACAAGATGATCTAGCATCTGCTCCTTGGTATGCTTTTCTGGTCTCAACCATTGCGTACAAAACTTGTGGAGTCGGCTGCAAAGTCCTCGGGGACCTTCAGCCTCTTGGTATTGTATGTTTCTGAAGTTCCAGGACTGAACCTCTAAACAGATGGTTTCTTTTTCCAGGATCTTCTGACCAGTTCTTGCCCAGATTTTCCCACAGTTGCCAGACTCAACAGTCAAAGGGCCTTTTCCTGTTCCCTCACATGGTGAAGGTTGTTCCTCCATTCCTTCCTCTGTCCTGTAATGCAATTCCAAACAGGTCTGCGGAATCCTGTGAATCTCCAAACACCTTTCAATTCATAGGATCGTTTTGGTAGCAATGCCAATAGCACTTAGACTTATATGCCACCCTATAGTGCTTTACAGCACTATTTGGTTTATAATCTCAACATATTACCCCAACAATCTGGGTCCTCATTTTACCAACCTCAGAAGGATGAAAGGCCGAGTCAATATTGAGCCCTCTTCTGTAGCAGCAGGACTGACCACAGAAGGCTATCCAGCCCTCTTGGCACAAGAGGTAATTTTTTGGTATTGCAAACTTTGTTCCAACGACTCTGGTTTGTATAAATAAGATGAAAAGAATATAAACTAGAAGAATGCAAAGGTGGTGGATTTAAGCACTGAACACATTTATCCTCATGGAAAAGAGCATCTTCCTGAACTGGTGAAGGATTGCAGTGGAATTGAGCAGATGCATCATCTGTGACTATTTCTTGGTGTGGTGCAAAATGTTTTTCTAGCTTATATTCCCAAACTTGGATTATAAAACAAATGAGCTTTGGGGCATTTTCTATTTCTTTGTTCTCCTAAGAGAAGGCTAACTTTTTAAAAATGTAAGGTCTACTTTTATTCTATAATCAGCTTTCATACAATGTGCCAAATCCCCAAAAGGTTACAAACAGACTACAGAATATGTATGTACCTTCCTCCTGCTTAATATTGAGATATTGCATGTTTCGTGCCCTTGACAGATAAGTACTTGGAGCCATGGGGGAGTGAAAAAGATTAAATTTTAAAATGGCTTCTCCGCAAACAAGGAAGTTTGTCTTTCTGAGGGGCTTCAGACCCCCCAATATGGAATAATACTGAGTGAAAAGAATCTGAAAGGAACAAGATTCTAACAATGCTATGAAGATTGAATTCAAATCAAATGAAATGCCAAACAAATGACCCTGGCTTAAGATGCTTCATTTCCCATTTTTAGGGTTTGCTTTTTAAGAACAAAGTCACACTATTATACAAAGGCAGCTTCAGCCGATTTGCCCTGAGCCCAAACTGGCAAACCAATTCCTGAGGCCAAGTTCACATAAAATACAGAGCTTGAAAGTAGTTACCTTAAGATGGTTCAGTCTCCCACATAAGACAGATTGAACTGATCAGGGATGGTCTTCAGAGGGATCTCCTGCTTACATTTATAAAATGGAAATCCAAAGAACTTTCTAGAAACCCAAGGTGACTAACTACTGAAAATCCTTCCCCAAAGAAAAAGAAAATATTCCCTCCCTGCCACTGAGGGAAATTCAGAAGAATCCTTCTAGATAAACTTTTATAAAAATACTATATAAATATATTTCATGTTTTGGATTTCAATTTTCTAATCATTTATTCTATTAATCTCTACAGCCAGGGAGAGATTTAAATGCCTCAGGTCACAAATAGCAATTGAGATGAGTGGTATATAAATCTATTTCATAAGTAAATATATCAACATTTGAACTTATAGTAAGGCTTTAGCCAGCTGAAACCCATTGTCCTCCTGGCCCCAAATTCCAGAAACCCAAATGAACAAACCATCATCCAATATACATCTAGGACTAATACCTGAATAAATAAAGCAGCTACTGCTTAACTTGTTCTGTTTTCATGCAATTCTTAGAAGCAGAGTGCCCATGTTTATAGCCTAATCCTGTCTTTTTCCAACTTCAACTCCCACACTTTAAAAGAGCCAATATTGACAACAATGTGAGGCACACAGTGCGAATGCTGTGACTCAGCCCCATTTTTGCACCTCCATCCCTGCAACGTTTCCCTTCTTTGTCTGCCGGCTTTGAGATCGTGGGGAAAGGCTGGAAAGCATCACCCCAGTTCCAGTCCTCACACCCAGAGCCAGGAGGAAGCCTTCTGGCCAGCCTACCCCTCCCCCCATGCAGAGGCTCCCTCAGGAAATGGGGGGAAACAACCCTTCCTTTCGGGCGACCCCCATTCCTCTCCTTTGCTTCCCTCTCCCGCATGGCTCCTGCATGGGAAAATGGGCCTCGGACTCCAACCCCGGAGGAAGACTTGGCCCCTCTCCCAGCACCCCTCCAGCGCGGGACCCCTTTGCATGCCACTCACGTAACTCGGGAGTCTCGTCGTTTTCCGCGTCCGTGCAACGCTTTCCGACAGTAACTGGAGTCTCACAGCCGGGGTTGGGGGAGGTCAGAAATGACAGAGGCGCCTCCACCCTCTTCCCACGAACGCCCAGGGCAACACGTGCCATATACCCGCCGAAGAATCCGGCGCATGCTCAGTTGTCTCCTGAAGCTGAGCGCGCGCCCTGGTGGATTCTGCGCGCAACGAGTCGCTTCAAGGGCGGGAAAGAGGAGAACGCCTGAAGGGATGAGAGCGTCTGAGGGGATGATGATGATGGGGATGATGGGCGTGGGAATAAGAGTAATCAATGGCTCTCTGTCAGAAGAGAAGGGCGGCGGCGTCTCCAGAGGCGGCACTTTCTCTATCTTCCTGTCAAAGAACCATCTGTGGAGATGCAGAAAAATCTTTCCGGAGGATCCAAACTCGATTCCCTCAAGAACCCGTCCCCCTGAAGGCTCTACAGAGATTGGAGGAGTCTCAAAAGGGAGCAAATCTTGTCAGAAGACGAGGGCCAGGAGCCTCTCTGGGAAACACAGCTTATTTTGAACTTTGGCCTGATGTGGCGGAAGATGGGACACAGGCAGGGAAGCGACAATCAGGAATTGGGAGGCTTCTATCAGTTGTTATTTCTCTACTTCAGTATACACACAGCTGCCCTTCTCAAATTTTTAGCTCTGGATGCCTACAAATAACGCTGTAGGAAAAAAAAAGAGAAAAACGATACCAAAACGGAGGAAAAACTGAAACTTGTGGATATTCGAGAGATTTTACCTCACAAAGGGGGGAGGAAATTATGTCTCGTGACTGGAGAAAAGCTGGAATTACCAAATGAAGGAAGAAATGGTGGAGGAAAAGTGATTGAAAAGCTATTTCAAAGCAATGTTCCTTCAAATTGCTAATTGTGTTGTTCTTCCTCTGGATCTGGAGTTGATGCCTGCGCTTCAACCAGGCAGCACCACTTTTGCCCTAACAGCCCAGTGCTGCTCAGTTCCTTCTTTTCCCCAAAGGGCTGTGCATGTTTCTAGCCACAGAAACCCAGAAATCGGCTTTGACACTGAGGCATTCATCCTCCCACTCAGCGTTTGCTCATAAGCATCCACACCAATCTTACACCTTTCTGGCCAATTGAATCACAGCTGTCAAGGTCCAGAGGTAGCTATACCCACCCCGCTCCTTAGCTTAGACAAGATGGTACCAAGACAGAGAGTGGCTAAGCGTGTATGAGAAAAGATCAAGAAAATGGCAAGTGGAAGGAAACTGTTTTATGGAGACTGGAAACTATTTCAGGTAGGCAAGAGGGACGTTGGTCACCTGCTAGAACCAAAAGCTAAGATGAGCAGCATATCTCAGTGGATTCTTCCTTGGACTTGATCAAACAATCAGCAAATCAACCACATTGAAGCAGTCCTTTATCCCAACCAATGTGAGGCTGGTATGGTACCTTACAGACTTGGGGATTTTTGCTGGGACTGAGTATTAAACACCTAATTATTTGGCAATGCTAATGTGCATGATCTGGAAAGATAGGAGTTAACCCACAGCAATAGCATGTTGTTGGAGAATGGTTGTGCCACATTGTGTATAGATCTGCTATGTTGTTGTATATCCAATCCTAGAAAGCAAAATCCCCTCACATTGCCCATTTGATTTCCATGTCTGTAATGAGAAACTACAGCTTTCCCACCCTTTCTTTATTAACAGTCTCTGGTGAATATGAGACTGAGGCTGTTGTAACCCTCCTCCCATGCAACATCAAAACTCTGCATTTCACCAGAAAAAATGCTTACTGGCTCTCAGGTACTTATTTTAATACAGTGAAGTGAAAAAGGATTTAACATATCACTGGAAAATAACCATACCAATACTTAATTTTATTTAAATCTAATTTAAACTTTTTCTTAGCCCTTGTGACACAATAGATATAACATCTCTGATGCTTGAAAAGTCTTTTGCACAGGCATTTGAGAGGCTTATCTTTTTTATTCCTTTTTTGTGAGAGAATTCGACATCCTGAATCTCTTTCCACAGTCTACATCAACATGTATGTCAAGATTCAATTCTCCACATGGTCATTTGGGAGGACAGAGAAGTGAATGTCTGCTGATAAACTATGAACATATTAAGGAATGAGAAAGGAGGGGGAAAGACTAGGTAAAAAGTTTGAATTATGGGAAGTGGCTATGGATTAAGTGAACTTCCATCTGCATGTCTTCCATAGTTGAAGGAAGAATAAAGCATTTTGAAGAAGTGTCTTGGGAATTTTACTGCTTCTATTTCTGGGAAGAGGGTAGATGTAAATTGTCTACCTGTTGATAACTCTTCCACAATGAGGATCAAGTAGAAAACAATTTGTGAAAAATTCCCTTGCAAGTCTACAATATTGACATCTTATATAAAATTGCATAGTCCAGAATCTGAGATAATTAAAACAGACATTTTCTTGGAATTGACCCTATTTGGAAACAAGGTTAACTTAAAGAAAAAAAAGATTTTCATTATTTATATAAAATAGTGTTTGCCACCGTCATATTGACACTAATATGAAAAATCCACACTAGTATTAAAACAGGTGTGTTCATTGTTTGTGTTTCCATCGGTAATTTTATCTCTGGGGTTTCCAGTTGCGAGTGCAGACTCAACCCCCACCCCCACCCCACTTCCTATAAACAAATAGGAAATGCATAGATTTCACCAACTAAATCTGGAATTTAAATGGATTTGCACCAAAATGGATCTGTGTATGGAAAATTAGGTCATTTTCCCACTCCACACATTTATATGGCTTTTCCCCTGAATGGATTCTTTTGTGTCTCATAAGGGATGAAATTTGACAGAAGCCTTTTCCACACTCCATGCACTTGAAGAGCTCCTCTCCTGTGTGGATCCTTTTATGAGAGTTAAGATAACTGCTTGTAGTGAAGTCCTTTCCACAGTCTACACATTTATAAGGCTTCTCCCCTGTGTGGATTCTCTTATGGGAAGTAAAGGAACTCCTTTGACTGAACCCCTTTCCACACTCCATGCATTTGTACGGCTTTTCCCCTGTGTGGATCCTTTTATGGGAAGTAAAGGAACTATTATGACTGAAGCTCTTTCCGCACTCCATGCAGTGATATGGCTTCTCCCCTGTGTGTTTCCTTTTATGCGAAGTAAGTTGACTGCTCTGAATAAAGGTCTTTCCACACTCCGTGCATTGATATGGCTTCTCTCCTGTGTGGATCATTTTATGAGTGGTAAGGGAACGGCTCTCTCTGAAACTCTTTCCACACTCCGTGCACTTATATGGCTTCTCCTCTGTGTGGATTCTTTTATGGGAGGTAAGATGACTGCTCTTAATAAAGCCCTTTCCACACTCAAGGCACTTATATGGCTTCTCCCCTGTGTGGATCCAGTTGTGGGAAATAAAGGAACTCCTTTGGCTGAAGCCCTTTCCGCACTCCATGCAGTTATATGGCTTCTCCCCTGTGTGGATCCACTTATGGGAAGTAAGGTGACTGCTTTGAATAAAGGCCTTTCCACACTCTGTGCATTGATATGGCTTCTCTCCTGTGTGGATCCTTTTATGAGATGTAAGGGAACGGCTCTCTCTGAAACTCTTTCCACACTCCGTGCACTTATATGGCTTTTCTTCTGTGTGGATTCGTGCATGGGAGATAAGATGGCTGTTTTTAATAAAGGCTTTTCCACACTCCGTGCATTTATAAGGCTTCTCCCCGGTGTGGATCCCGTTATGATAAGTAAGATGACTGCTTGTTCTGAAGCTCTTTCCGCATTCCAAGCACTTATATGGTTTCTCCCCTGTGTGGATCCTTTTATGAACGGTAAGAGAAATGTTTTCACAAAAGCTCTTTCCACACTCCAGACATTTATAAGGCTTCTCCCCTATATGGATCCAGTTATGGGAAATAAGATGACTGCTTCTTTTGAAGCTCTTTCCACACTCCAAACACGTGTATAACTTCTCTCCTACCTGGATGCTTTTCTGATGTGTGTGGGACCCATTTTCACAAGAAAGAGTGGATTTTTTTCCATTGTCTCTGCATATTTTACTTTGTCCTTTGGTTTGGTTTGGATAATGTTCATTCGCAACTAATTTGTCTTTGAATAGTTTTACATTTTTCATAATGTATTTTTTCTTTATTTTTCCTTGTTGGGCAAGAAAGTCTTGCACTGGAGCATCAACGGAAGACAAACTTTCCTGATTCCAATTGCTTGATTGGTTTCTCTCATGCATCTCTACTTTTTGATTTGCAGGCTTCTCCAGACTGTCTTTATGAGGGATCACTCGGAATGGTTCTGTGGAATTTTCATTTTCCTGCCCGTTATTACCTTCAAAGAAAGGAGAAATAAAAATGATAGAAAGTTAGGGGCAAAGATCAAACTGCAGGCACAAAGAAGAGGGAGTCAAGCTGTTCTCCATAGCACCTGAGGGCAGGACAAGAAGCAATGGGTAGAAACTAATCAAGGAGAAAAACAACTTAGGCCTAAGGAGAAATTTCCTGACAGAGCAATTAATCAGTGGAATTGCCTCCAGAAGTTGTGAATTTGACAACACTGGAAGTTTTTAAGAAGAGATTGGACAACCATTTTTCTGAAATGATACAGGGTTCTCTGCTTAAGTAGGGGGTTGGACTAGAAGACCTCCAAGGTCCCTTCCAACTCTATTGTTCTGTTCTGTTCTATTTTATTCAACTTGATTACAGGAAATGGTATATTGATTAGTGCTTGAAAACCCTTGTTGGAATTCTTGCTAAAAAAAAATAGAAAAAATGAATTTGTGATCTGTAAGTTTGAAGGTTAGAAAGGAGCCATTATGTAAAAAAACTATTGTGTGACCTTAGAGAAAGAAGCTAAATTTTAACATTTAATATGGTTCTATTCTTTTCCTTTTTTTCATTTTATTATACTTTTTTCTTATTTATCACCTTACTCTACCTTAATTTCCTCTTCAAAACTTTTTATTCTAATAAAAGTGCTTTAATAAAATTATAATAAAAATATATTGCTGATACCATTTAATTACAGAATGTCTTCCCGAACACACTGCTGGGAGAAGCAAACTCTTACCCAGAGACACCACGTTCGTATGATTTTCCAGCATGACTTCCCGATGCAGCACTTTCTGATGAGGATCCAGCTGTGACCACTCCTCCTCAGAGAAATACACAGCCACTTCCTCAAAGGACACAAGACTCTCCTGAACAAGGAAAACACAACAGAATAAAACCAGGGGAATTTACATGATCTGTCCTATTGTTTAAATCACTACAAGTACAGATATACATATTTATACATGTATACATATTTAGTGCCATTCTGTCATGCCCCTGTCAGAGTCTAAATCCAAGGAGGAAGACAAACAGCTGACAGGGAGCAGGAGTGTGGCTCTGTTGGCTGTGGAGGAAACTGGGGAAGGGCAAAGTCTGGCCAGGCAGAGCAGGAGAGAGGTAGAACAAGGGAGAGGGAGTTCAGAGGAAGACCCAGGCTCACCCCCTCTTCATCCTAAGGCACACAGGGAGGAACGGAGAAGAGAAAAACATGGGTTGCATGGCTTACGGGGAAGGAAAGGGCCCTGATTCCCTTCATTAGCCACACCTGGGAATGAAAGTTTAAAAGAACTGAATGCTGACTGAGGCAGCTGCTGGGAGCAAACGTGGCTTTATCATGTTTTGTCTTTGCTTATCTGTGTTCCTGGCGTCTTCCCAACTGTGTGAGTTTTGCCATGCCTTCACATCTAAAATTCTTGCTTCTGCCCTGCCAAACAAATTACCTCAGTTTGGCTTGATTGGATTTATAGTTACATTTTGTGTTACTCATGTTTTGGACTTAATTCTCTGCAATCAAAGGCTGTTCCTGGGAGTTTTTCTCCAGCCAGAAGGTAACCTGAACATTGGGGGCAAAGTTGGAGCTAATAAAGGGACTCTTATTATCTGTGTTGCCTTTGTGTCCTGCCCCGGGCCATCACACATTCAGTGAAAGGAACCATAGCTTTCTTCTGGGTCAGTCTGTCTGTCTCTGCCTGCCTGCCTTCCTTTCTTTCTTTCTTTTTCTTTCTTTCTTTCTTCTTTCTTTCCTTCCTTTCGTCTATCTTCAAGATTTTCTGCACATGGAAAGAATCAACTGGCAGATGGGCCTTGGAAACCCCACTTCTCAGTGACTCCATCTTGTATTTACAGAAGAAAATGAGGGATGAGATTCTTTTTAGCATTTTATTAAAAAGTGCGGCCTTTTAAAAATGGTTATGTGCTAATGTAATTATTTCAGTTATTATTCAGCAGTCTTGCACAATAGCATGTCAAAGAATTACTGAAAGGATCACTCTCTACTTAACAGATGCTAACACTGTGATAGCCTTATTTTTTATTATGCTTCTTACTTGAGTTGTGGGTTCAACGATTGTTTCAATTCCATCATAAGCTGGCATTATCTTCATTCTATTCTTCACTGCATGGGAGACAAAATTTTAATATCCATAATTAACATAATAGGACTATTCTACAGAAGAGAGATGAAAGAAAAAATGAGATAGCTGGCATTTCTCTGGGGAGTGGAGCAGTGGTGTGTTTCAAATATTTTTACCACTAGTTTGGTGGGCGTGGGTTGGTGGGCGCGCTTTGCGCGCATGCACATTTTGCATGCGTGTGCCAAATGTACACTTTGCAGAGGCATTTTGAGTCACCTCCTGAAATCCTGCACTCTCCCTGATGCTTCAGCAGCTGCCACACAGCAGTTGCAGGACTTCACAATCAGGACATAAAGGTTAGTGTGAGAGCCTGAGCCCAATACAGAACATTGGAGAGAACCGGTACGGTCTCCGCTGCTCATCACCATTACCGGCTCAGCCAAACCAGTAGAATACCACCACTGGAATGGGGAAACAGGAGTACCTGGGATTTCTCTGGGGAGTGGGAGAACCTTCAATTACCTCCTGCGATGTCCTGACTTGGATCTTCCAGAGAGATCCTCCTCCAAAGCATCTCCTGAAAGGGATTTGATGGATTTCTCCATCCCTCGGGACCTCTGATCTTCACAACAGACTTAAAATAGGAGAAAGGAGAAGAGTTAATGAACACTCCAGAACATTAGGCTGATTCTTATTCTCTGAATACAAATTGGAAAGCCCCCAATATCCATCAGCGAGTCTGAATGAGAAACGAATGGAACAATATCCTACAAGGATTAGGAAAAGGTTTCCATGTAAGTCTGAATGCCAGAGAAGTCTTGGAGGGAGGGATGCAGAATCCACACACATTCTTTATTCCCTAAAACCATCCTGAGATGAAGGTCTCTCACCTGCAACTTGACCTGCTCCTTCTGCTCCTCCCCTTGGCTCAAGAGGAAGCCTTCGGCCAGGGCCACCGCCTGGGAGCTGCTCTCTGCTCCACACTCCCGCACCCAGCCCTCCATCTCTGGGGGCAGGAGAGCCAGGAGCTGCTCCAGAACAACTAGGTCCAGCATCTGGGCTTTGGTGTGTCTTTCTGGTCTCAGCCATTGCCTACAAAAGACGTGGAGTCGGCTGCAAAGCCCTCGGGGACCCTCAGCCTCCTGGTATTGGAGGCTCCTTAAGTTCCAGGGCTGAACTTCTGAACGGAGGATAGTTCCCTCCTCCATGATCTTCTGTTCAGTTCTTGCCCAGATGTCCCCACAGCTGCCAGCAAAAGGGCCGTTTCCATTTCCCTCATTTCCTAAAGGTTGTGTCTCCATCCTTTCTCTGTCCAGTAAAGCAACTCCAAATGGGTACAAGGAATCTTCTTGATCTCCTAGACACTTCATTCATAGGTCCGTTTCTTGAAATTCTGTGGTTTTTTTCCGCCTGTCTTTTTTTGCTGATATGCGAAGATGTAGAAATCACTTCCAATTCCACCTGAGATGGAAAAGAAAATAAATTCCAAGTATTTAAAAAGTGGAGCATTTAAACACTGAACCACAAGTCATCCCCATGTGAAGGAATGAATTTTCTGAGCTGGTCAACGATCGGACTGGCATTTAGCAGATAGGGTTTTTCTTTTTTGTGTGCATGGATTTGTGTGCATTTGGCGGGCATTTTAGGATGTTAGACTAGAATCTAGATGACCTGCAAGGTCCTTCCCAACTTTGATTATCTGTTATCTGTATCTCTTTTGATCACAAGGAAAAGCTTCCTTTCAAAAACTGCATTCCCCTCCAAGAAGGACTTACACCACCTGCTGAACCCAAAACTGGGGAACAAGCCATGCAAGTTTAGATCAAATCCAATGAAATGCCAAGAAATGACCCTGGTTAAGGATGCCCCGTTTCCCTTCTCCGGGGTGTCTCCCTCTGATACGCAGGCAGATTCACACAACCTGCCCTGAGCCCCAAGCAGGTCATCCCAGCGCAGAGCCGAGGTCCTCCCCGTGCAGGCCGGGAAGAAGGCAGCTGGAGAGGCCGCCCGGCTTCTCTCTTCTTCTGCTGGGCCTCCGCAAGGCCGACCCTCCCCTCTCGCCCCACTCGGGCTCTTCCCCGGACACGGGGCGGGGCGGGAGCCCATTGCATCCCCTGCAATGGAGAGGGCGACTAGGGAGCATGGACCGGGGGTTCAACCCGCAGGAGGGCCGGGCGCGGGGTCTCTCCTACCTCCGCCTCCTTTTGCAGGGACGAGCCCCCCGCCCCCGCCTCCGCTCACCCGGGCACGTCTGGATCTCCTTCCCGCCAGACTCTCCCGCAGCCTCTCCGCCTCCTTGAAGCGCTCCAGGGGTTAAAGGGAGAGAACGCGGCGTCCTAGAGCGGCACGGCTGTGATGTCACTTCCTTCGCAGCCTCCTCTGGAAAGCACACGGTAACCGTCGCCCTCCAGTGGATCAATGGGAAAGCGCTTGGTGTTCTTTTTCTCTTGTTTAGAGGGCGCCTCCTGGAGGGGTCTATGTGAAAAGCAGGTGCTCGTGCTCAAGAGCAAGGGTCTTCGAACTTGGCAAGTTTAAGACTTGTGGATTTCAACTCCCAGAATTCCTGAGCTAACATGACTGGAGGAGGAATTCTGGGAGTTGAAGTCCACAAGTCTTAAAGCTGTCAAGTTTGAAGAGCCCCGCTCAAAAGGGTAGGAAAGGGAGTGTCGCGGAGGTGGTATTCAGCAGGTTCTGACCAGTTCTGGAGAACTAGCAAATACCACCTCTGACTGGCCCTGCCCCCATCTATTCTCTGCCTGATTGGCTGGGTCTTCTTGTTGCCCTGCACAGGAGAACGGAGCTGGAAAGCAGGTTAGTGGGATGGGGAAGGAATGGGGATTTTGCAGTAACCTTCCCTCAGGAGTGGGGAGGTAATGGAAATTTTACAGTATCCTTCCCCTGCCATGCCCACCAAGCCAAGCCATGCCCACCCAAGCCACGCCCGCAGAACCGGTAAAGTAACGTTTTTCTACCTTCCCAAGAGGAGGGGAAGGGATGATGGGCATGGGAACAGGAGGAACGGTTCCTGCCCGAGAAAGGCATCGCCATCTCCAGAGGCGGTAGTCTCTCCCATCTTCCTCTCCTTCCTGTCCAGGAACCATCTGTGGAGATGGGAGGAAATCTCTGCAGCATTTGAACTCATTTCCCTAAAGAACAATTACACGGAAGTATTCCCAGACTTTGGAGGGGGCCTCCAAAGGAGCCAAATCCTGTCAGAAATGGCCAGGTGGTCAGAAGACAAGGAGGCTCTCTGAGAAACACAATTTGTATCTTGTGATTGTTGCGAACTCCAGCCTGAAGGAGAGAGAGAGAGATGGGGCTGGTGGGTAGGGAAGGCACAATCAAGAAAACTTGAGATTTCTATCGTGTTTTTGTTCTCTAGTTCTGTATATACACCTGCACTTGGCAAATTCTTGGCTCTCAGTGCCTAAGAATAACCGGAAGACCTCAATGAGTGGCTGCTTATGACAAAGGAAATAATCTGATGAAAAAGAAAACTAATTCCAAAATGGGAAAGAAGCTGAATCTTGTGGATATTCCAGAAATTTTACCTCAAAATAAGACTACTTGGAGGACAAATGAAGTGTGGGGGAAATAACATCTAATCTGTGACTGGAGAAAAGGGGGAAACTGCAAAATGATATAAACAGATTATGGAAAAGAGAATATAAAATTAAAATACCATGGGGTGGGGGAAAGAAGAGGAGAATAGTTTGACTCCTTCTTCTTTGGGGCAGCCCCTGAGATATCAGAAGACTGCTATCATGTCACCCCTAGTCCTTCTTTTTGTAAAACTAGACACATCCAGCAATCATTCTTTATATGTTTTAGCTTCCAGTTCCCTAATCATCTTTGTTGCTCTTCTCTGCATTCTTTCTAGAGTCTTTTTTACATTGTGGCGACCAAAAGTGGATGCACTATTCCAAATGTGGCCTTACCAAGGCATTATAAAGTGGTATCAATACTTCACATGATCTTGATTCTCTGTTTATGCAACCTAGAACTGTGTTGGCTTTTTCGGCAGCTGCAGCACACTGCTGGATCATATTTAAGTGAATATCCATTAGGACTCCAACATCCCTCTCAGAGTCACCACCTATTGAGCAAGGTACCACATATACTGTGCCTGTGCATTTTGTTTTTCTTGCCTAAATGTAGAACCTTACTTTTTGTCACCATTGAATTTCATTTCGTTAGACAGTACCCAATGTTCAAGTCTGTCAAGATCCTTCTGTATCTTAAGCCTATGTTTTGGTAGCTTGGTATCATCTGCAA